TTTTTCATATATATATTTCATATCTATTTCATATATTTCATATATATATATTTTCTTTTTTTCATATGTATATTTTTCATATCTATTTCATATATTTTATATATATAAATTTTCTCATTTTTCATATATATATTTCATATCTATTTCATATATTTCATATATATAATATTTTTCATACATTTCTTTTATATATTTAATATATTTCATATCTATATTATTTCCCCTCTATATTTCACATCTCTTTCCTCACCTATTCAAATATTTCCCATTGTTTTCCTTAACTTTTTCCCTGTTTTCCAGTTGGAACAAAGACAGTTAAAAAGGACCTTTCCCTGAGATATTTTTTTTTTCTGGGGGGGGGGCAAAGTGACCCAAAGTGAACAAATAAAATAAAATAAAATAGTATAGAATAAAAATAAAATAAAATAGTGTAGAATAAAATAAAATAAAATAGTATAGAATAGAATAGTGTAGAATAAAATAAAACAGTATAGAATAAAATAAAATAAAACAAAATAAAATAAAATAAAATAATAAAATAAAGACCCAATTTCCTTTTTGCCCTAAATTTTCCTTCCGCACTGGCAAAGGAATTCCTGGGAAAGAGAGAATTTCGTCGCCCTTTGGCACCAAAATCCCCCCAAAAACCCGCTAAAAAGCCAAAACTCCTTTCCACATTTGAACTAATCCTACGGAAAAAACCCCCGGGGGAGGAGGAAGAGTTGGCTCTGGTATTCCCAGAGTTCCAACGGAGACAGAAAGGAGGGACAGATCCCCGAATTTTAAGCAGAATCAACAGGTTTTGGTCGGTTTTAATCAACCTGTCCCAAGATCCCACCCCCGGAGCCCATTCCCACTGGGATAGCGGGATAGTGGGATAGCAGGATACCGGGATACCGGGATAGTGGGATACCTTCCCGTTGGAGTCTTTGGGCTGCAGGTCGAAGGCCCTGACGATGTAGACCCGGAGCAGACACTCCTGGAGACCCCGCGCCGGGAGCTGCCGGAACTGCCGGGGCGGCGCCGGCACGCGCGGATCCTCGGGAAGGGGGTAGATCCTGAAGGAACCCTGGGAAGGACACGGGAGTTCAGGAGCGATGGGCGTCCCCAGTGGATGGTGGGATGGATCATGGAATCGTGGGATGGGTTGGGTTGGGTTGGGTTGGGAGCGACCTGAAAGGTCGTCTTGGGCCAGTGTGGGAAGAGACACCTCCCGTTATCCCGAGGGCTCCAACCTGGCCTTGGACACTCCCAGGGATCCAGGGGCAGCCACAGCTTCTCTGGGAAACTCATCCCAGGCCCTCACCACCCCCCCAGCCAGGAATTCTTCCCAATATCCCACCTAACCCTGCCCTCTGGCAGTTTGAAGCCAGAATGGATTCATGGAATCACGGAATGGGTTGGGATGGGAGAGACCTTAAATCCCATCCAGTTCCACCCAGGGACACCTTCCACTCTCCCAGGTTGCTCCAGCCTGGCCTTGGACACTCCCAGGGATCCAGGGGCAGCCACAGCTTCTCTGGGAAATTCATTCCAGCGCCTCCCCACCCTCACAGCCAGGAATTCCTTCCCAATATCCCATTTAAATCTCCCCTTTTCCAGTGGGAAGCCATTCCCTGTGTCCTGTCCCTCCCTCCCTTGTCCCCAGTCCCTCTCCAGCTCTCCTGGAGCCCCTTTAGGCCCTGCCAGGGGCTCTCAGCTCTCCCTGGAGCCTTCTCTTCTCCAGGGGAACCCCCCCCAGCTCTCCCAGCCTGGCTCCAGAGCAGAGGGGCTCCAGAATCCTGGAATGCTTTGGGTTGGAAGGGATTGTAAATCCCACTGATTCCACCTGGGCAGGGACACCTTCCTCTCTCCCAGGTTGCTCCAACCTATCCTTGGGACTCTCCCAGGGCTGGGGCAACCGCAGCTCCTGTAATTCCCGGAATCCTGGAATGGTTTGGGTTGGAAGGGCCCTCCCAGCCCCCCCCTAATTCCAGGCCTTGGGAGCCGCTCCCACCTTGAACTCCCCCACGACCGAGGGGTCGTCGCTGCAGTCGCGGCTCCGGCCCCGGAGCAGGGGGAAGGTGTGGCAGAAGTCACAGAGGTGCTCGAACTCCTCCAGCTCCTCCAGCTCCGTGTCGTAGACCTGCAGGGAGAGACGGGACGGGGACGAGGCTCCTTCCGACCTCCTCAGGCCCGGGAAAATCCCCCCACAGGGAAAAAAATATCCCGGGATCTCCCGCCCCTGCTGCCCCTCAGGATGGGGATGGAGAGTTTGGTGACCCTACAATAAACACCAGCCCACCACAAAGGGCTCCTCCAGGGTCTCCCACCAGACACATCTTCCCGCCGGGAACGTTTTCCTTAAGGGTAGGAAAGGTCTTGTCCCGTTTTAGCCCTGCTGGGGCCTGTGTGTGAAATCCTGCCCGGTTTTCCTCATTCCCAAACAATTCCCAGGGTGGCCCTTCCCCCACCTCCTCGGCCACTTCCAAAGTGATGATTTCCTGAAGGCAGCAGAGCTTCCGGAGAGGATTTTGCAAAGCAATTTGGATTTTCCAAGTAGGTATTTTTAAAACAATTACATTTATATTTATATATAAAATTATATTTTAAAACAATAATATTTCTATTTATACATAAAATATATTTTAAAACAATAATATTTCTATTTATATTTATACATAAATTATATTTTAAAACAATAATATTTATATATAAATTATATTTTTAACCGGTAATATTTATGTTTATATTTATGGATACACTATATTTTAAAACAATAATATTTATATTTATATATAAATTATATTTTAAAATTATAATATTTATATATAAAATATTTAAAAACAATATTTATATTTATATATAAAATCTATTTTAAAACAATAATACTTTATATTTATATATAAAATACATTTTTAATGATATTTATATATAAATTATATTTTAAATGATAATATTTATATTTATATTTATAATTACATTTTTTAAAACGATAATATTTCTATTTTATATAAATATATTTTGAAACAATAATATTTCTATTTTTATATAAATTATATTTTTAAACAATAATATTTATATTTACATATATAAACTATATTTTAAACAATAATATTTATACACTAAACCAATAATATTTATATTTATATATAAAATTCTATTTTAAACCAATAATATTTATATATATATATATTATTTTAAAAACAATATATATTTTTAAAACAATACTTACCTTTTAAAACAGTATTTAATTTTAAAAAATATATATATTTTTAAAACAATACTAATCTTTAAAGCACTATTTAAAAAACAATACACATTTTAAAACTAACATCCATTTGGAAATATTCCATTTTTTCCCCTGGGTGAAATGTTTCATTTTTTTTCCTAAGCCTAAAAATTCCCCCAAAATTCCGGGAGCGCGAATCCAAGGAGCCGGAAATGCGGGAATCCCCTCACCTTCAGGGTGTCAAAGCCCTTCTCCAGGTAGGAGCCACATTTTTCCCTCTCTCCTATGGAAGCATAAAACTTGCTCCACCAGTCGATGAATTCTTCCTCCTGCAACAGATCCCGGAGAAAAAAATCCAAGGAAAAATCCCAAATTGCTGGAGCTGAATTCCCACACCGACCCCAACGCCGGGGGTTGGATCCCCCCGGGAGCTCCTCCAGCCCTGATCCCAGGGGATTTGGGGGATTCTCCCGGCCCAAATCCGTGAACCTTCTCCTGGGAGGATGGTTCTCCTTGGGAGGACAAAGTGAAGCTCCCAGGAAAACAACGGGAGCGTTTTTAGGGAGATTCCGGCCCTTTGGAAGGTGGTTTTCCCGGGATTCTCCGTGCGGGACCACTCAGGGAATGAGACGAATTGGACTCTGGTGCCAAGATTTTTGGGGACAGGGATTGACTTCCTGGTTGTGCCCCAGCACCACCCAACCCCCCCATCCCGACACAGCCTGGGGGGAAGGAAGAAATCCCTCCAATCCAGACATTCCCACGAAAAATGAAGGACAAAAAACCCTCTTCCCACAATATCAGACCAAAAAGCAGGAAAATCCCACCCAGTTTCATCTCCCACCGGGAAGGACCAGTTGCCTCGTTCCCTGTGCAAACCATTCCAGCCCCAAGGATGCTGTTCCAAGGGGAAAACCACGGATTTTCCAAGAATCCCATTTTCTAAATTCCTAAAGCAAAGCCGGAGGGGCTTTGCCTGCGAGCCACGAAACATTCCCACGAAACATTCCCACAGAATAATGATGCCTGATTTTAGAAGGCCACACAATTCCAGACCAACGCAGGAATTACACCAGAGGTTTCTTGGAATTCTGTTTGACGCCAATGGTGTGGGATTTCAATGGGACAGACGTTGGATTTCATGGGAATATCACACAAATTAACTCCTTCTTTTTTTTTTTTTGGAAAATCTTAATTTGCCTTCCATGATTTCCCCCGTTTCAGTGTTTCAAAAGCTCCTCTTGGAGCATCCTGGCTTTCCAGGGACATTCCCCGGGATTCCAAGGAAAGCACTTGGATTCATCCCAGGACTTACCCACGGGATCTTCTGCAGCCCCAAGGAAAGAGAGGGGGGTGAAAGATTTTAGTGGATTTTTACGGATGTCACGACAAAAAAACTGGGAAAAAATTAAAAAAGGGAGGGAAGGGGAGCAGCTGGAATGTTAATAGGGAAGGGTATGAATCCGTGTGGGAATGGGACAGGCAGGGAGAGCAACGGATCCACCACAACAAGGATGGACTGAGGGATTTCATGGAGCGACCAAGGGGGGCCCAAATCCCCTCCAGGGATCCCAGATTCATTCCCAGCTATCCCAAATCCCCTCCAGGGATCCCAGATTCCCTCTCAGGGATCCCAAATCCCCTCCAGGGATCCCAAATTCCCTCCCAGGTATCCCAAATCACCTCCAGGGATCTCAAATCCCTTGCAGGTATCCCAGATTCCCTCCAGGGATCCCAAATTCCCTCTCTGGTATCCCAAATCACCTCCAAGGATCCCAAATTCCCTCCCAGGTCTCCCAAATCACCACCAGGGATCTCAAGTCCCTTGCAAGTATCCCAAATTCCCTCCAGGTAGTCAAAATTCCCTCCAGGAAGCTAAAATTCCCTCGAGATGCCCAAATCACCTCTGAAAAGCCAAAATTACCTTGGGACACCCAAAATTCCCTCAGGACAGCCCAAATCACCTCCAAGTATCCCAAATTCCTTCCAGGGAGCCAAAACTCACCTTGGGATATCCCAAATCACCTCCAGGTATCCCAAATTCCCTCCAGGGAGCCAAAACTCCCTCCAAGTATCCCCAAATCCCTTCCAGGTAGTCAAAATTCCCCTGGGATAGCCAAAATTCCCTCAGGATATCCCAAATCACCTCCAGTGGTTTATCCTCGACACAGTCCAGAGGGTCTCCAGGTCGGGATCTGTTCCCTGAGCCTGAAGCAGGTGGTTGAGGGACCTCCTGCATTCCCTCTCCAGCTTTTCCATGGATCCCACGGGATCAACCCCCGGGTTGAGCATCACTTGGGGATAAATTTAATCCCAAGGGATCAAAGCCTATAATCTGAGCTTGGAAAGGAGCTGCTCCAGACCTGGAAGTGAGTTATCCAGAGGTTTCCTGCCTCCCCATCCCTGTTCCCTCTCACGGAGCAGGGATCACCACGAGGTGGGCTGGCACCTTTATCCCAATTCTCCCAGGCTGGAATCATGATCCCAAACGTTTTCCTGCTCACTACTGGGATAAAAGTCCAGGCCTTTCCAGCTCCAGGGAGCCCAGCTTTGGAATTCTCTGCTAACACGGGAAAATCCACCTTTAACAAGGGATCAGAGGGATAATCCAGGGTTATTTCACCAGTGGGACCAGTTTAGCAGTTTTCCAGGGAAAGGGAAGCAGGAGAGCCCCTTCCAGGGGGGAATCCCAAAGACAGGAATATCTTAGGGCCAAAAGCTCCCAGAAATACAGAAATTCCAATACTATTATTTTTTAATGCCTTAAATCCCTGGAATTCCCCAGTGGGCTGAAATTCCTGGGATTGTGGTTTGGGCACATCCAGGGCACTCAGGGAATGTGCTGAGCTTCCATGGAGTGGGGAAACCTCTGGGGAATCCTCAGACGTGGCCTTGAGGATCCCTGGATCAGGGCTTGGGATCAGCAAAGCCATTGGCTGCCACTTCCTCATCCCTTGGGATAACAGGGAATGGGGTCGAAGCTCTGCCTGATCCCCCAGTTCTTCCCTCCCTCGGATCCCCAAACCCAGACCTGTGTCACCCCAACGGCTCCAGGGACGTTTTCAATCCCATTTTTTCCCCAATCCCAGGGGGAATTCCCTGGTTTTAACCTCGTTTTGGTCAGGAAGGCTGAGGCACAGGGATTTCCCCCCCCTGCCCAGGGTTCCCTGCGACCACGAGCCCATCCCATGGGATGCATTCCCAAATGGAGATCCCAGGAACCTGGGCTTGTCCAGCACAATCCAACTGTCCCAAAAGTTGCTGGAATGGTTGTTTCAATCTGGAGAAAGACATGGAAAGCTGGGAAATTCCCACACTATGGACAAATCAGCTGCTGGTGGAACTTAATCCTCACCAGCACCTTCCAGGGAAACTGAGGCAGGGCCAGGATCGGGCCCAGGCAGAGCCTGGAGCGGAGCAGCAGTGGGATAACGGGAGCCTCGATCCTTATCCCTGTTCTCCTGCTCACTCTGGCTCTTCCCAGTGGGAATACAGAGAATTATAGCAACAAACCTGCCCAAAGCAGCTGAGCCACCACCTCAGGCTGGGCCTACTCACCCCTCCCAGCTGGAGGCAGAATTCCTGCTGGGGGAAAGCTCTGGAGCTGGGATGGGATGATCCCTCTGGAAAAGGCCGGGATGTTCGGCTGCCCAGGCCTTTCCCTGGTTCCTCCAGCCCATCCCAGGATCAGCTCTGGGCTGGGCTGGAGGGAGGAGGATTTCTCCCTTCAGGAAGGAATTCCTGCCTGGGAGGGTGGGGAGGCCCTGGAATGGAATTCCCAGAGAAGCTGTGGCTGCCCCTGGATCCCTGGAAGTGTCCCAGGCCAGGTTGGAGCAACCTGGGCTCATGGAAGGTGTCCCTGCCTGTGGGACTGGATGGGCTTTAAGATCCCCCCAAGCCATTCCATGATTCCATGGTGGGAATCCAGCATTCCCTGCGGATTGATCAGGGAGGGCTTTCCCCCCCCCTCGCCAGGGGCTGTCTCCCAGCTGGGAATAAAAGGAACAGGGGGAACATTCCGGGAGGCAGCTCTGGCTTGGCAGCCATTCCCAGGAGGAGACATCCAGCGCCAGGAGCTCTTCCAACGGCCGGTAACTGGAGAAGCCGTGAAATGTGTGCTGGGCTCTGCAGGGAGCAAAGCCAGCAAACAACCAATTATCCCAAATCACTCCCAGGTTTGGGCTCCGTGGATTCGGCTCCGCTGGGCTCCGTTCCCGTGTCCTTCCCTGGGATATTTGTGTGGGACGAGGAACGCTCAGCCGGAGGGACGGGGGAGGCACCGCGGGGAAAGGACCTTGGAGTGATTCCCGGGGGGAATGGGAGCCTCCTCCTTGGAGTCCCACGGCTCAGGGGCGTCTCAGGGCTCCTCCTGAGCTCCTCTCCTCTGGGAGATGCCCGAGAATCATGGAATCATGGAATGGGTTGGGTTGGGAGGGACCTGAAAGCTCATCCAGTTCCACAGGCAGGGACACCTTCCACTCTCCCAGGTTGCTCCAACCTGGCCTTGGACACTCCCAGGGATCCAGGGGCAACCACAGCTTCTCTGGGAAATTCATTCCAGGGCCTCCCAATCCTCCCAGCCAGGAATTCCTTCCCCATATCCCATCCCTCCCTCTGGCAGAGGGAAACCATCCTTTGCCATTAACACCACAGTGGGAGGCAGATCCTGGGAAAATCCAGGACCCCCTTCCCAGACTCCACACTGGGCTGGAACTTTTGGGTTGGAAAAGCCTTTTTTCCTAATATTTCCTTCCCAGCTGCCGCCCCTGCCCCTCATCCCACAGCTCCTGCTTTCCTGGGAAGCTCCAAAGCTCTGAAGGAGCAGGAGGTGGGACAGGGACGTTCATGGCCCAACTCCATGACCAGCTTCCCAAACCAGGATGGTTTTCCCAAGGGAACATCCACACCTCCCTGCAAAGTGGGGTTTGCTACATCACATCCCATCATCCTGTAGGATCCTGGGGAAAACCAGGACAAGGGGTCTATTCCTGCCTCCCACTCTGCTGCTTTTATTTTAAATTAACAATTTGCAGCTTTTCTCCTCCTTTTTTATCCCCCCCCCCCCCATTTTATGGGAACTAAACCAAACCCACGCTCCTGTAAATTCCAAATGCTGATGGACAGGGCTGGGGAAGGGATTCATGGAGGGTTTGTGTGCACTGTTGGGATCCCAGCACTGTCACTCATCCATCCTCTCCATGGGACACACAAACCACCCCAGGGGGCAACATTTGGGTCCAGAGGTGCTGCAGAGACACAGGGAGAGCCAAACCAGAACTGGGATAGATGGAATACTGGGAAAGAATTCCAGCCTGTAAGGGTGGGAAGGCCCTGGCACAGGTTGCCCAGAGAAGCTGGATGAGGGTAATTAAAGAATCCTGGAATGGTTTGAGTGGGAAGGGACATTTGAGCCCATCCAGTCCCACCCTGTGCCATGGGCAGGGACACCTTCCACTATCCCAGGTCACTCCAACCTGGCCTTGGGCACTTCCAGGGATCCAGGGACAGCCACAGCTTCTCTGGGAAATTTATTCCAGGGCCTCATCACCCTCCCAGCCAGGAATTCCTGCCCAATATCCCACCTATCCCTGCCCTCTGGCACTGGGAAGCCATTCCCTGTGTCCTGTCCCTCCACCCTTGTCCCCAGTCCCTCTCCAGCTCTCCTGGAGCCCCTTTAGGCCCCCCAAGGGGTTCTCAGCTCTCCTTGGAGCCTTCCCTTCTCCGGGCTGAACAATCCCAGCTTTCCCAGCCTTTCCTCCCAGCAGAGCTGCTCCATCCCTCTGCTCATCCAGGTGCCCCCTCTGGACTCTCTCCAACAGCTCCACATCCTTCCTGCTCCAGAGCAGGACCCGGGATTCCTCCCCAGCCCCACCTCCTTCCCTTGGGCAGGAAGGGAAAACCATTCCCCATGGAACCGCCACCTTGCCGAGCAGCAAGGGGGTCTTTCCCAGTAGGAAATGCCTCTTTCCCATCTCCACCTGCCCACCAATCCCAGAGAAAAGCCCTCAAGGAAGCCGTGAATTGGAAGTGAAGCGATACCTACAGGAGGCGGGGCCCCGGCAGGAGGGAGGGTAATTAGTGCAGAGCTGGTCACACCCTCGGCAAGCTACAAATCAAAAGGATCCGTTAGCCATGGAATTAGAGGGATAAGGGGGAGCACACATCGGCAAAAGCACCATTGGGGGAGAAATCAAAGCAATTAATCCAAGGAAATCCGCCCCGGGGACGAGGGCGAGGCCTCCCGGGACGAGGCAGCCTCGGCAGGGTTTGGGTTTTTAGGGATGTTCAGCAAACTGGACATGGTTACAGGGAGTGGATGGGATGTTAAAGGGGGAAATGTGGGATGGAAAAGCTGTTAATGCTTTCCAGTGGAGCAGGGAATCTCCCCGGGCACAGCGGGGCACGTTCATCCCGGGAGCCCGGGAGGGGTTTAACAGGATCAGCAAAGCTCAGGACCAAGGCCCAGCTCCAAGCTCAGCCTGCCCTGGGAGGCCCAAGAGCTGCCATCCCTGCCCTGGGCACCAAGATCTGCTCCTGCTTCCCAAGGGTTGGTCCCTTGGAGGTGGGAGAGTGGGACAAACGAGATGTTCTTCCCAGAAAACATCAGCCCCATCCCACCAGCATTCCCTGAGCCTCTCCCCCAAGACGCTGCTCTGAGCCCCACCCCGGACCTGAAACCAGCTGAAAACACCCCATTCCCAGCTGCTCCACAGGGAAAACATTCCCTGAGGCTCAGCTCCAACCAGGACACCCCCCCCAGCTCTGGGAGGCTGCTGGGAACGGCCCCTCCATGATTTATCCATGAGCAGAAGGACAAACCTCTGGCTCATCCCTTGGGGCTGCACATGGACACACCATGGATGTCCTTCCCGAGCTGCTTCCCAGGGGAATGACCCCCTGGAGAACAGGGAATGCAGAGCAGGCAGGACTTCAGCCCTTCCAAAACCCCACTCCGGGTCCATCTCCCAAACTGGAAGGGATCAGCCTGGAAAAGCAGCTTTTCCATGGGTTTGGGGAGGTTTTTCCATCCCTCTGGATGACCACGGTGTGGTTCACGTGCACATCAAGTGCTCTGAACTCCAGATGAACTCCTCTTCCCCCCTGGATGGGATGGCCAACACTCCCCAGCCCTGGAGCAGGGGGGATTCACCTCTGCTTGTTTTCCCCGTTCCCGAGGAGGACAACAGAGGGATCCTTTGTTCCCAACATCCATCGGAGCAGGGACCAAGGCCAGGCCTGGCAAGGAGGGAGAAGAGCTCTGGAGCCACCCACTGAAGCACAGCCCTGCACAATCCTGGCTCCTGCTTCCAAGGTCACGGCTGGGAGAGCCTTGGGAATGGGCTCCTGGCCAGGGATCCGTCCCTCTTTCCCAAGGAGAAGGAGCAGGATGGTCTCTGCAGGCTGGGAGTGCTCCTGGACCCCTCAGATCTGTCCCCCAAACGGGAGCAGGGCGGGGTGAGAGGACCCTGATGATCCACCCACATCCCAACCCTGTCCCCCTCCAGGGCAGGAACAGCTTCCAGTGCCAGGATTCAGGGGTCAGGGAGGGAGAAGGTGGGAATTTTGGTTTGGCTTTCCAGGAACAAGCTCCCTCCTCTCCCAAAACAAAAAGGGAAAGACAAACAAACAAACAGAGGAGGACAAACGTGGGGTCAAAGTGAACAACTTCAGCTCAGGGCAGGGGTTGTTTGGGAAATGTTTGTTCCCATAAAACATCATCCAAATCTTCCCCTCTGGAAGGGCTGGAGCGGAGGGGTTTGGCTTTGCCACGTCCCTCTCCCCCTTTTCCCCCCATTTCAACTGTTCCCTGAATCTGATATGAGTTGGGAGATGTTTTTCCATCGGCTTTAAACCACCCCAAGGAACGATGTATGGATTGCAAACCTCTCTCCTGCCCCTTCCTCTGGGATCTCTGCAGCTCCTGTGCTGATTCCCTGTTCCTGGGAGCAGCCCCTGGAGCTCCAAATGCTGGGAACATCTGTACAGAGGGGGGGTTGTGTCCCTATCCAGGGGTTTCATCCCCCAAAAGCTGATGGGAGCAGGGTTGGTCTCATCCCCATGAAATCCCTGTGAGGTTTTGGGTGGGAGATCCCAGGGATTCCCCAGGGATTCCCAGAGGGAAGGGCTGAGCTGCTCCAGCTCTCCCAGCTCCAGGAGTGTCACAGGAAAGGTGCACATGACTACTGTTGTCCTGAAGGATTTTTGGGAAGAAAGCCCTGCCTGTGGGTCCCAGAATCATGGAATCAGGGAATGGGTTGGGTTGGGAAAGACCTTAGAGACCATCCAGTGCCACCCCTGCCATGGGCAGGGACACCTTCCACTAGCCCAGGTTGCTCCAAGCCCTGTCCAGCCTGGCCTTGGACACTCCCAGGGATGGGGACTTGGAGTGGGAGCACCAGCCTGGGGGTGGGATAAGTGGCCAGGACAGGGCCAGTCCAGGCTGGAGTCCCACAGCCACGGGATTTGCTGGGAACTGGTCAAAATCTTCATTCCCAGCCCGATTTGGGATCCCCAGGCTGAGCCCACCTTGGGACACGCCCACGGGGATCCAATGGCACCACGGAATCCTTGGGAACAGAAACGCTGGGGAGCCACCAAGGGGATGGACAAGGAGCAGGATTGATGCCCAAGTGTCACATCTTCCTGCCCACCCCTGGAAGTGCCCAAGGCCAGGAAAGGCCCAAAGCTCAGGCTCTTCCAGCCCGAGGTTCCCTGCGGCACCTCCAGCCTTTGGAACGGGGGGAAAGGCAATTCCAGCACGTGCCCAGGACACCAAAGGGACAGGAGACCATGGGAAGCTGCACCAAACGTTCCTGGCACCACTCCCAGCTGCTCCTGGGCCACCAGGATCACCTGTGGATCAGCCATGGATCAGCCATGGATCTGCCCAGCTCGGCACAGACAGGGCTGTCCCAGAGGGGACACATCTGCTGGGGCAGGAACACAGGGATTACGGGAATGGGAAGCTCCAGGGAGGAGAACAGCAGCTCCAGGGGCGTGTCCAGCCTGATCCACCCACGAGGGACAGCTGAGATCCCTCAAACTCACGGCACAGGGAGCTTGGAACACCCCTCTCCTTCCCTGCCCAAGCTGGATTGTGGATCCTGCAATCCCAGTCCCACCAGGCCCCTCTGCAGAGGGACTGGAGCTGCTGGAAGCAGCAACGGGGTTTGGAAGCAGCAAAGGAACCTTCAAAGAGGAAAACTGGGAAAAGGAGACCTGACGTGGGGTGAGGATGATGGAACCTCGGGGAATCTTTGCTTCCAGCCTGGCCTTGGGAAATCTGTCCCATCTCCCAGCACCAGTTCACCTCCCAGTGCTGGGATAAATCCCGCCAAGGGATTAATTATCCCTCCCATCCCTTCTTTGGGACGGTGCCTGTCCTTCCCAAAGGGTGACTTCAGACCTTGTCCAGCCTCAAACCAAACCCCACAGTGAGGAGGAGATGCCAAAAGAAGAACCTGGTGTGCAGAGAGTCCCTTGTCCTCTCCCAGAAGAGCCAACCCAGCCCCTGACACCGAAAGCAGGGAAGGAGGAGGAGTTTGGGGATGTGCAGGTGGAGGAGGAAGGGGATGAGAACACGGGTGGAAGCTCCAAAGGGAGGGAGAGAACCAGCCGTGGCCTCTCAGGGCATCACTTCAGCCCTCCAGCCTCCCAGGGTCCCCCAGAGCACCCAGAGGATCCCGTTGTGCCCCCCTGCCCTGTTTTCCATACCTGGACGGGGAGCAGGGGCTCCTTGTCGTCGATGTCGATGAGGATGTCGTCCCCGGGCGTGAGGCTCACGTCGTCTGCAGGGAGGGCACGGCATGGTAGGGCAGCCAGGGGCACCCAGAGCCTGGGGGTGACACCCTGCACCCCACCCAGAGCCCTCACACCACCCACGGCTCGTGTCCCTGATCCCAACCCCACCCAGAGTGCTCACACCACCCACAGCTCCTGTCAATGATCCCAAACTCATCCAGAGCCCTCACACCACCCACGGCTCCTGTCCATGATCCCAAACTCATCCAGAGCCCTCACACCACCCACGGCTCATGTCCCTGATCCCAAACTCATCCAGAGCCCTAACATCACCCACGGCTCGTGTCCATGATCCCAACCCCACCCAGAGCCCTCACACCACCCACAGCTCATGTCCCTGATCCCAACCTCTTCCAGATCCTTCACACCACCCACAGCTCATGTCCCTGATCCCAACATTGCCCAGTCGGAAATCCCAAAGCAGAGACACCTTGGGATCAACATCCATCAACCTCATCCAGACCCTTCACTCCACTCAAAAATTCATCATGATCCCAACCTCTCCCAGAGCCCTCACACCCCCCACAGCTCATGTCCCTGATCCCAACCCCATCTTCACAATCCCAATGTTGTCCAGGCCCTCCACAGAACACAAAAACTCATCTCCATGATCCCAACCTCTCCCAGAGCCCTCATACCACCCACAGCTTGTGTCCCTGATCCCAAGCACATCTTCACAATCCCAATCTTGTCCGGGCCCTCCACAGAACCCAAAAACTCATCTTCATGATCCCAACCTCTCCCAGAGCCCTCACACCACCCACAGTTCATGTCCCTGATCCCAACCTCTCCCAGACCCTTAACACCACCCACGTCTCCTGTCCCTGATCCCAACCTCTCCCAGAGTCCTCACATCACACACAGCTCGTGTCCCTGATCCCAACCTCATCCAGACCCTTCACATCACCCAAAGTTCATCTTCCTGCAGGTTGACCAGCCTGGCCCAAGGACGGCCCATCCCACCAGCCAGTCCCAGAGCTAAACTCATCCTTGGCACCTCCTGGGGTTTTTGGATCATGACTAGAGCTGGGCTGAGCTCAAAGCAACGTGACCCACTCCAGGAGAGCGACCCATGGCTCCTCCTGGAGAAGGGAGGGCTCCAGGAAGGCTTGGACAAGGACATGGAGTGACAGGACAAGAGGGAATGGATTGAGCCGAGGGAGGGCAGGGTTAGGTGGGATATTGGGAAGGAATCCCTCCCTGTGAGGGTTGGGAGGGGCTGGGATAGAATTCCCAGAGAAGCTGTGGCTGCCCCTGGATCCCTGGAAGTGTCCAAGGCCAGGCTGGAGCAACCTGGGCTGGTGGGAGGTGTCCCTGGGCGGGTCCCTCCCCACACACCCCGTTCCCTGCTCCACGAGGATCCCGGTGCCAGCCCATCCCGTACCTCCGTGCCCGGGGGGCCGGGCGGTGTCCTGGCCGGAGGGATCCCATCGGAAGGGCTCCAGGGAGCGCACGGAGCACTGTCCCACCACGGGCCGGCGCCCGAAGGGACGGTTGTCCAGGACCTTGATGACGATGGGGGGGCTGTAGAGGCTCTCCTTGGGCAGGCGCTGCGGGAACAGGGGGGGGTCAGGACACGGGGCAGGGGGGCAGAGCTGCTGCACCACCCCACAGAGAACGGGGGCAGAACCAACTGCACCACAAGGGGCTTTGTTATGGGGCTCCCTTCACCAGAATAATCCATTTCTGTGAACTTCGGGGTCCTTCACCACAAGATTCATTTCTATGGGACCTCCACGTCCTTCACCAGAAAATCCACTTTTATGGGACTCTGAGGTTCTCCACCATAAGATTCATTTTTGTGGGGCTCCAGGTCCTTCACTAAAAGATTAATTTTAATGGTGCCCCCAGGTCCTTCACCATAAGGTTAATTATTATGGGACTTTGACAACCTTCACCATAAGGTGCATTTTTATGGAGCTCTGAGGTCCTTTCACCACGAGGTGCATTTTTATGGGACTTTAAGGTCATTCACCATAAAATCCACTTTA